AAAAAAAAAAAAAAAAAAAAAAAAAAAAAAAAAAAAAAAAAAAAAAAAAAAAAAAAAAAAAAAAAAAAAAAAACCAGTACACAACAAAGGCCTGTAGTACCACATCTGTTGCTGTTTCTTTATAGAGCTGATGGTCTTTCACTTCACTGGATTTGTAGGGAGAAGAGGAAGGTGAAGTAGTTTTGGGAAGCATTCAATAAGAATTACTACCCAGTTTTTCTATTTCTCATACTGAAATTTACCTGGAAAGTTAACCCATCCGGAACCCAATGCAACAACGCTCCCATCAAGTTCCATTTAAATCTTCCTTTTGCTATAAATTTTATTYATATATCAGAAGGAGAGAGTTTATATGGAGCCCAGAACTTCATTGTAAGAAAGGATTTGTACTTTTATCAACCCCAAAATCACAGAGATGGTTTCAGACAGTATGACAAGCTGATCTCAGCAGACATGCCTGATGCTTACCCAGACAGGAAAATAATTCCATGAAAAAGGCTCTCCAGGTCACAGCATCCACCTGGACCCTACAGAACATCTAAAATACACACTTGTTAACTGCACTTCTTATGAGTAAAGCTGTAAAATTCCTTTACTTTTCCTGCTTCCCCTAGAGAGCCCTGGCAACTAAAATGGGAATGTCATGTTTCTATAGGCAGCCATGTTGCACCTGAAGGCCTGCTTCATTTAAAGAGTTCTTAATTATTTTCTGTTCATCAAGAAGGCCAAGTTCAACAGATATTTAGGTGTTAGTAGCATACTGCACTCAGGACACTCATCATTTGTTCTGTGACTTCCTCCTCAACCCAATATTAGTACTGGAGAAGGAGGAGGATGAAGTGGTGTTTCTATGGGATAAAATGAAAAATTCAACTCCTTGAGAAGAGGGGAATCCTTTATACTCAGAATTTGTTTCATTTTCAAATCTCCTTGGTTTCATTGGCCACTGATACTGAGGTCTCCTAACAGACCAAATAAAATCAAGTTGAACTCTCTAGTATCATCTACTAGCTGGTCAAAGTTAACAGTCAGGAAACTTCCTCTAAAAGGAAATGGAAACTATTATGAATCTATTGATTGATATTGATTTTGACATTTCTGATACTTGCATGACATGCATTGGCTTCAAAGCCAGTGGGTATTTTCATTAAGCCCTGGTTTTGAAATGTTCATTATGATAATAGAATATAACAGTGGGAAGRTATTCTTTTACACCCCACCCCTGGYAGACAWTTGTTATTCAAGTTAAAAWAAATAAYTTTTACTCATCCAACCATTTCAGTCTGATAACTGTGACATAACATTTATAAATATTGTTCAGTTTTAATATTACTTCTTCCAGAAACATATTCAAACTTTCTTGATGATTAACTTGGCTGGTTGTTTATGCAAACTATCATGTTAGACTGGGCTCAATAGAAAAGATTTTGTGCTACATCACTGCACCACGAGAACCTGGAAACAGGCCCACATTTTCAATGAATAAATGTCAAGGTAATTGAAAGGGATGCTCTTTAGAATGTTCTTTAGAATTCCGCTGAAAGAAAAAATATGGCCATTAYTGATGACAATAGTAATGGAGTCTCATAAGAGTTAAATAATTATGAAGAATGCAAACACTCAAAGTTGGTTGACAGCTAAAAATATGGACATTTTCCTTTCCTATATTCAGTAGAAGTACAGCACAGGTGTGAAGCCAAAGAYGCATTCTAATAGTAGACATACCCTTACATTTAAAGTTTAGTGTCAAATTTGTTCAATACAAATTGGTGGCATCAATTTAATCAGGTTAATTGACTTCAATAGAACCACAGCAGAGATCTCACATCCATTCTCTCAGCCAAATTTTTTTCACTCCTTTCTGATGTTTTCTTTTCCTGAGTCTTATTGGTAATGATGATTATACTGCAGAGTAGAATGTGTGAAAAGCAAATTTCTGTTACACATAAATATGCAATGATTCATATTTTTCAGAGACGTTAGAATTTTGTGCACTTTCAGACCATCTTTCAATGCAGTAGAAATGTTGTTAGGTTTAATAGGAGAGGATTTATCTCATGAAGAAAACACCTGTATTTGATCATGGTATAAACTTCACTTCCCRTCTTGACGTCAATTTTGGTGACTGTAAACTGAAATTAAAGGGGTTAATTCAGTTKTTATATAAAAAAAAGTACATGAGATGAATCATCTTWAATAACTTGAAACATCTAATCATTGTGATGTAATGATATTGGGTAATTATGAAATTTACCATGAACTAGACCAAGGAATTTCTAAGCAAAGCTTAGTTCAGTAGCTTATCTGTGCTCTTTTTTTTTTTTTCATTGCAGATCCTTATGTCAAAGTGAACCTGTACCATGCCAAGAAGAGAATCTCTAAAAAGAAAACCCATGTGAAGAAGTGCACCCCCAATGCAGTGTTCAATGAATTGTTTGTCTTTGACATTCCCTGTGAGGGCCTTGATGATATCAGCATTGAATTTCTGGTTTTAGATTCAGATAGGGGGTCAAGGAATGAGGTCATTGGCCGGTTAACCTTGGGCTCTTCAGCAGAAGGAACAGGTGGAGARCACTGGAAAGAGATTTGTGAATATCCTAGGAGACAAATTGCCAAATGGCATATGTTATGTGATGGTTAGCAGCTTAGAGAGGGGTAGGAGCTTAAAAACTATATATATTTCCATAGACAAGGAGCAGGGTTTTGTTTTTGTTTTTTTCTTTGCTATATATAATTACAAACTTTCAACTACAAAACTTTTTTTTTCTTTCTTTCCAAGGGAAGGGTGGGGGGTTGGAATAAAATTAGATTGAATTATCAGAACAGAAGGTAACTAAATTTCCACAGTAAATAACAGAATTTCTATTTAATTAAATTTTAACATCATTAGTTCAGATTCATATTCTTCTAGAGTTTAAATAGCCTGTAAATTCAGAACTATAAAGCTCAAGAAGAACAAACTGTGCTTTGAAAAAGTCACTTATTAGTGACTCTTATGGAGAAGAAGAKAACCTTATTATAATATATCCAAAAAGACCCCACACCTGTGGCTTATTAGGGAAGGGGATGAATCTATGACAGCCATGGGGATTGAGGGTGAGTAGGGGTGGGCATTCCTTCTGCCCCTCMACCAAAACCTTCTTTTATGAAAATTCAGTTGTTTGTAGTTTTGGTTATTTATACTTTGATCATCCCAAAGAATGATAATGTTTTCAGCATTTTGTTTTACATGTCACATCGTGTAGAACTAGGTTTTTTTTAAATGTGGAAACATATAATTATTTACACTTGGACTTTTTTAATAAGGCTATATTTATAATTTATATTATTACAGTGACCAAAATTGATACATACTTTAAATAGCCGATCAAGTTAACATACATTTTTTTGTTAAAAGGGCTCCTTTACGGGTGACTGTACATGTTACAGTATAGCTAGAATTTGGGATTAGATATGGATTGCATTTTTTTCCTCTAGGTAGGATTACACTTTAAGCATTTCAAGCCATGCAAAACAATTTCTGTTCAGATGAGGTAACATACAGGATATTACAATCAATGACTTTTCACCAACTGTATTTTAACCATTCACTAGTACTTAAAGAAAAATCGTTGCTTTTTTTTTTCTTTTTTTGATTAGTTGTTGTTGTTGGTGTAGTTTCATCAAAGACTAAACAAAATAGTGAGACAGAGAAGAAAACCGTTTTCTGCTGTTTAACTTCCTGGACTGTAACTAATGCCATTACAGTCAGTACCAATAAAGAAAACTTCAAAACATTTTTTAAATGTTGCAGGAGAAGAAACCAAGTTCACCTTATAACTTCTCCAATAATATGTAGACAAAGAACTTGGAAAGTGCATTTCACATAGATTATATGAATTAATGTACATTACTGACTGTACTGAAAATGGTGGTGGTGAGGGAAAATAACATCCTGGTTTCATGTCAGTGTGACACACGACTATTTGAACTTAAACTGTGTCAGGCTGAGGAAATTATCAAGTGTAACAATAACAAGTGTGCAAATAAAGCATTTAGACCTGTGAAATTTAGTCTTGGTCACACCAGATAGATTTTTAGGCTGCCAGAACTATAGCACAACTGTAAGCAGATTTTTTCCTAAAGTTTGTGCACTAATTTCTGATACAGAATTGTTTGCAAATATTAGTCCTACTTCATTTTCAACTACAATATATATATAAAAAAAAGAACATAGTGATGTTAGTTATTGACATAAGAAGGGTTTAAAAAGTGGAAAACCATTTTCAGTATTTTTTGCATACATCATTTGTCACGTGTAATCCCATTGAAGTGAATGAACTACTTGGGAATTAAGGTACTGCTCATTGTGAGTAAAGGTAGCAGGATGGGCATGCCAGGTTGGAACAAACCAAACATACATTGAATGTCAATCTACTTTCATCAAACAACAGACCTAGGTCCTACTTAAAACTGTTGGGGATTTGTTGTCTACTTTACCTGTTCTCATATGGCCAAATTATGTTTGCAGGAAAGGACACTGAAATATGAAATATGCAAGTAGACAAATAGTACTGGAAGAATTCCATTGAGGCTCTTCCAGGTTTTGTGTCAGTATTTTCTCCAGTTTTTGAGAATGTGTTTGATACAACAGTGTTTATAGATTTCTGTAAAAATGCATTTTCAAAATAACATAAACATGCTTTTTATGATAATGCTAAATGTAAAAATATTGCGTATTGTATGTATAAAGGAGAGGAATCTTTTTTGATTATTTCTTTGGAAAGCTGATTAACTGCTTAAGGGCCAGAGTTTGCCAGCCACATTCAAGCAGAGATAATCCAAAGCCACTAAGTGAAAGAAAAAATKCCCACAGGTTCAGTGAGGTTTGAGGTGCAATCCCAGAGCAGAACTCTCCTGAGTCAACCCAGAAATGTCACTGGGACCATGGATATGGGGAGACATTGTTTTGTCCARTGGAGACTGGGAGAGTTTAAGTCAGTATCACACAATCAGAGTTGTTATAACTCCTAGAAGGGAAAGAGCTAAGCTGGAAAATATTGCACCAAAGAGAGTGGGACATTTTGCAGCTGGAAAAGGTGGAGGTTTTTGTACACTGGCCCCTAAGTAGTTAATTATCTCTAAAAATCAGATGACAGGCATCATCTGTCTCCAATGAACACAAAATATGACATTAGGGGATAAAAATTCATCTTATTGAATTAATGCTGGGCTGTGATCATCTTTCATTTTGCATCAAACAAGTCGTCATCAATCTTTTTTTTTTCAGTTTTTATAGTAGCTTGACGGTTAATATTTTTATCAGCTAAATGGAAGTTTTTTGTTGGAGGGAGGGGGGTTGGTATGGGAAAGGGACGTAAAGATATTTTCATTAAATTTAAAAACCCTGTAAATAGATTTTTCTTTTTTTTT